TTTTTTTCAAAACATGAAATCCTGTGCTTGTATATTTTCTTTTTTAAATTTAGAGAGCTATGAATGAAAATAAAGAAATAAAGCTGAAATGATATAAACAAAAATGTTTATACCCGTTACCATGGTAACATTCTTAGTTTGAATTTTTAAATCTTGATTGCAAATGTATATATTTATTTATATTTTGTACCAGCAATGATTTTACATAAAAATGTCCTGTAATCTTGATTCTGAGTATCAAAATAATTGAAATTCCTACAGAGAATCTCTTAACTCTACATAGATTACATTGGTTGCTATGTGCTCAGAATCGTTACCATGGGGAAATCAAGTGAAAAATAAAATTTTATAAGATGCTAATTACATTGTAAAATTTGCCTAATCACAATTTTACAGCATGCTTTGAAGAATCCTTAACAACAGGTACATGAACATGCTAAAATTATTATTCTATGATGTGTTGCTAAGGGGAAATCGCTGTTACCATGGAGATTACAAATTGTAAAACATTCCATAGCTTGCAGAGAGGACTCAAAAATTTCAATTTGTTTTGAGTGTTCAAAGATAACAAGGTATGTGATTTATGACTTTAGCATTTTACATTTTTTCTCTTTTTATTCATCAAAACACCCATTTTTGTTGCTAGGCAACGATAGGAATGTTTAAAAATTATACGCTTCTGAATTCAAATTCTAAAAGACAAAATCCTCTGCTTTAATGTTATATACACAGGATGTCTGTATGAGGTCCATCACTGGAGTTATTAGGCATTGAATAATTCCAAAATCAAGGAAAATGCTGAGTCAGCAAAAAAGGAAAAACATGCATATATTCCCACATCTATCACAGATATATCTTTAAATCTTATTTCTATATTTTTGATTGTGAAAGCTGTTAAGATCATTATCTTGAGAATAACAGCAATGAAAAAAGAAATTCTTTTAGTATTTACATTTAATTTGAGCCTGAAAGATAAGAGATTTTTTAGTTCATCAAAGCTGAAAATCGGCTGGTTGCTAGGGAAAATTCTTTACCCATGTTTCCATGGTAACCGTGAATCAAAACAATTTTCCTTTTGCATACATGGTTCATAGGGCAAAAGAAAACTATTTGTGGAAAATCATCGAATTCTGAGAACCTTCATATATCACCCTTTGCATGATTTTTACACAGAACTGTACTTAAGAAAATTCAACAAGTGTATATATTTTCACCTGTGATTACCAATCACTTCCATTAAAAATAAATAAAATATAAAGAAATTCCACGAACTTTTGGATCAACCCTCGTATATTCGAGAAATTACATTCACTTTAAAACTTCTAGGGACCTTTAGAAAATTTGGAATCAAAAAACTTTACCAAAATGAACAGCATCGAAACGTAGGATTTTTCAACACTTCATACAACTATTCCCCGTGTTAAATTAAAGACTTGACTTTTAACATCATAGACAACTGCTTCTTCAATAAAATGATACTCAAATTTGTATGTCTTGTAAACAGAAATTTGCAAACTTATTTTGTTAAAAATAATTCTGATGCTATTCAAAAGTACTCCGAGGTTGATATCAACAGATGCATAAGTTTCTCATTGACAATATCTATATATTTTTCGGAAACCGGGTACTCCAGCAATTTTGTTGGAATTCCCATGGGTGCTAATTGTGCCCAATTATTACCAGACCTATGAAGAAGACTTTATTCAAAAACTTCTAAATTTAGATATATCGACGTCTTTTTATAAAATAAAAATATTCAGTTTTATTCTGGCGTTGATTCCATATATCAAATTGAACATGTTTTATGATTAACGTGATGACTTCATCTTTCCTATCGTCAACTTCCCTGAATTATGAAGCAATATACCATTTTTATCTGTATATGGCGTTTATGTCTCCCAGTTAATTCGATACGCGACGGCGAGTTCTACGAACAAACAATGTCTAAGACGAGGTAAGCCATTGGCAAATAAGTTGATGATACAATGATATCAACATTCTGGTTTAAAGTCAACATTTTGCAAATTTTATGGTCGATATGTTACGAGAACATCGTTTGCAAATACGTTCTGTCGTTAATTTGAATGTTCACTGACATCCTTCATGAAAAAAAGTTAGGCCATCATTTTCACATTGAATTGTCTACGAACCTGATCATGACAACAGGCGATGCTTACTCTTCCATGGCATCTGACTCAACCTCTATTTTCAGAGGTCCTTTTTGGCTCTGCTCATAATTCTTTTTATTCAAATCGACTTTTGAGAATGACATATGTTCATAATCTTTACATTTCATTTTTGTTAAGATCTATTGATCATGCTAGTATTCCTCAGAATTTCATTAATTAAAAATAGGCCTCAAACTGGATATAATAACAAATATCTCCAGCAGCATTGACATTTTTTCTTGAAAGTAGATTTTTGTAATTTTAAAATGTTAGATTTTACTAAACTCTAATTTGTTAACGTCTAAAACCCCACCTTGGTACGAGTCGAACAACTACATGTATTTGAATCAATTTACGACAGTATGGATCCTGTGTATCTATTTTGTAATTATTATTTATGTAGTTACGTCCACCTTTTTTTACTCGTTGTCAAGTCAGACAGTTGCTGCATTATCTCTTTATCAGGTACTGTCTGAGACACCACGTTTCACAGGTATGCACGTGACTTCTAGAACATCCTGCTGTTCACACAACCCTTGCCAATAATGTGTTTCCTAAGATGCTTTTCCAGCAGATACCGATTATAATATTAGGAAGTTTTCTTTAAGAAAGTTTATTTTTCAATTTTTATTTCAAAGTTCTGAGTAATGTTACATAGATACATGTAAAAAGTAAAAAAAAATCTGAGAATTTGAACTTTAAGCTAGTCCAGACCCGGTATTGGAATTAAATAGTTAAAATTGCTCCTTTGCTAAATGTTGATAGATGAGTAAGTCAACTGGTCTTTTAAAAGACATCAAAGAAGGAGAAAATAAAGTGTCGCTCCATCATACATTATAATCCTGTCTGGAGCTACATGTACATCGTGTCATTATACATATTTATTTATGTACATTGATGTCACAATCTCAGGCCTTTTATTTATAACATCATTGAAATAAAGTTACTGTAACATACCTGAAGTTCTCTATAATGTACACATAACCATAAAGTGATAAAAGGACATCAAAGTGTTTTTTGGTTAGAGACACTCCTTTCCCCAAAGATGCATCAACATATTTGATCGTAGAAGGCATCATAGTGTGAAAGATATGAGCCGGACATTATTTGACTTTGGATAATTAAAGCTATATATGGCGTATCTGAGCTAAAAATAAAAATACGAGATTGAATGTAGATAAACATGATATGTTATTTACGTTCAAATTAAAAAAAATCACCGATTTTGAACTTGAATAACCTCATTTTTCCATAGTTAAATTGACTTTAAACTGTGTCTGGTATTTAAATGCGGAGTCGGTAAATAAATCGGTTTTTGTTTTAAGTTTCTTCTATCTTTGAAACTTGATTGATTTAAATTGTGTAATTTACAGGAAGGTCCTATCTTTATATAGAGCAATAAAATAAATAGAAAGATCTTTTTTATTTTAGTTAGTCTGAACTCCTAAAAAAAATACACCATATATAACTTTAAAGAATTCTTAAATGAAATGAAAATGGCTGAAGGACCTTAATTGAATATTGAAAAATTATCCATGTTTAGAAAAACTAAGAATTCCGGAGAAGTATTGGATTTTTATCTCTGCATCAATAATGCTACAATATAAGGGTCTTTGATCTGGTTAACTTATTTCTGTCAATTAGACGCTACGAGCTTGAAAAGTACATCAATTACTTAAGGAAATCCAGAATGTGTTCTCGGACAAATATTGATCTAAATAGAATAAAGGATCAGAATAAATATCTTGGTCAAAATTAAGGCATTTTTTTCCTTCTAAATTTGCGTCATTCTTATAATGTGAACACTCCTTAAAAAGTCTGGTAAAGTGCAGCATCAGACAAACATAGAATATTTTAAAATGCTTACAAAAGAAACAAATCATTGATTTAATGATAGATCTGTCTGACTTTTGTATGCTATCCAAAGTGATTTCTTTTTTTTTCCAAATAGAGATGATAAAATCACTTAACCAATTGGTAGTGATAATGATTATGTAGTGACACGAATGTCAGGACAATGCTATTTTTATTTGTTCATGGCTTCTTAAAAATTGTTTTCTTTTAAATATTCTACTTTTATATTTGCAAGATATGTTTTAAAGTATCTTTTGAGAAACTCAAACTGTGTTCATGATTTCCTTGGGATTGTGAAAAAGTTCAATTCGTAACCCCTTTTTTAATGTTTCCTTTATTTGAAGAACGTTTCCATGCATACAAGGAACCCACTAAGCTGAAGATACTTCCGCATTAAATTCCCTTCAATTCAGTACAACATTACAAATTACTGACATTTATTCTTCCTTATCATTGTATTAATGAGTAGCATCGTGTCACCAACCTGCCTTTGCAATTGGATTTCAATTATAGAGACGCTGCTGAGGTCAATTGATTCTGTATTATACGGTACTCAATCAGTGTCATAGAATTCCTGTGATATAATATGACCGAGTCCTCTCATTTCCTACGAATTACCAATATAGATTATCTTATTAAAAATTCTGTCATCGTGTCTTTGAGGAGAGTCGGTTTTAATTTTTATTTATTACATTTTCGATTTTTCCTCCGATGGCAGAATTTTTTTGAGAAATGTTGTTTACAGGAATTTGTGTTTTCTTTAACAGGTCTAAATCTTAGTTTTAATTTAATTACATTTGAGGTATGTTCAAAGCTTTTAATTTATCACATTCGAAACCTTTTACGTGTACTTGTTACACAAAATACAAATCGATCTAGGATACCTTCTTCAAAAACTTATTATTAATTAAAAAAAAAAAAAACAACTTCCATCCGTTTCTTGATTCGTAAGAATAAAGTTCTACGTTATTAACTTACCTGCATAATACATGCCAGTTCCCAGACTTAGTGAAATAAGAAGAATCCATGCCACACCGAAGTAAAAAGTCATTCTCATAGAACTGCACAACATAACAACACTGTTTTAGAGCTTGTAGTCAGTAGCAATCCTGAAATTCTTATGCTGTAGAAGGAAGATATATATCTTACAAAATTGAATTAATACCATTTATTCACCAAGGTCTGCCTGGAAAAAATAAGCTTATTAAACCAACCAATTTAGATTGTAAAGACAAAGGCAATTGAAACACTTAAATTCGAGCTCTGTCATTTGCTTATATTTATCATATCTCCCACTCAGTTGACTCCTCCACCAGGGGGCGCGGCATGCAAATAATTAACTATGACGAGGGAATACGATCGATGAGGTATTTATGACAAGTACTCAAAATTATATCAATTTGCTGCGATTTATGGATATAAATCAGGAGGGAATCAACTGGAAGGTGGCTATTGCAAGCTGGCCTTCTGGTTAATTCATCGTCATTTTCTTCTGATCGGTACAAGGAATATAATTATCCATATAGCGCTGATATTTGTATTGGACATGAATCAAAATGCCCGTTGGTGTATTCCTAACAAATGAATATCCTTAGAGTCCTAATGAAACTACTCGTCTCTGTTTGTTCAGAGGCTGGACGTATTTATTTCAAAGAAATGATATCTCAGACGCGATGATTAAAGATACTGCTTGAAATCATCTTGTAGTATGGTTTTGTTGAATTTATGAACAAGTAACAAAATTAACTTGGAGAGAATAATAAATGAATCAGGTTTGCCTGGTAGGTTATAACCATATAATTTAATTTTGGTTGTAACGCGTCATTTGATTGAATAAAAAAAAATAGAATATACCGTATAACCTAAGTTGCCTACGTCACAAAAACTTACGTCAAAAACGTATCAATCCGCTTGACGTTACATATAAAATACGTACAATTTGAAAGAATTTTGAAGGAGAAATTGTTTTATTTATTGCACTTAATGATGGGAAATTAAATTATAAGGAATGAATTCAATAGCTTCCCAAGTTATACTGGTATAACCTGGCTGGGAACAGTTTACGTTTTTTTTATAAACTGCGAAGCTGTTTATAAAACCTAAACTGCCCCATTCGTTAAGTAGCTTATCTATTTCTAGAGAATATATACAGTACAGTATACATGTATTCATCTTTTCTTAAAGCAAAATATATTTTCTGATTTTATATGCTTCATGGCTTAATTGAATTAACAAAATCGCAATTTTGGTGAAAAATATATCATTAGAATACACACAAAATGTGTTGCCATGTATTTCTTAATAAGTCTCTCATAAATAATATGCAATTGTACCGAAATAAGTGTATTTTGAAATATATGAAATCACAATTAGTGTGTTTATCTCGTTCAATCAAGTATAAGAACCCTGAAAATCAATTATATTCATTTTTCTCCATTCATCTATTTAACAATCGGGCCTGGCACTGATTTGGCTGAAATAAATATTTGATATCCGCCAATCCTACACTATAAATATTCAGAAATATCTCAATAGAAAATTTCGTCTTTAGTCTTATTTTCTTATACGGGCGTATATGGCTAGAGTAGCCTTATGGAATAAGATTAAATATTTTGGGGGGATATATAATATCTTTTATTACATTTTCAACAGTGAAATACTGTGATTTATTCATTGAATAAAAGTGATATTCTCTCACAGCGTGAAAGGATACATACGTGGTATTCTCTCACAGTGTGAAAGGATATCAAAGTAAGTAAAATATAATTTCTGGTATGTAATAATATTGAAATAGTAACTAAACCATCTTGACAGAGACTAAAACTGCTGATTTCTTCCCAAATACAATGTCTTGTCATCTTACAACTGCTAAGTCATGACGTCTCAACTGCTCAACTATGACGTCACACAATTACATTGTGTTAAGAAAAGACGGAGGCAAAGGGAAAATCAAAGAAAATGTAATAAATAGAAAATTCAATGTTTTGTATTTGGATAAGGAATTTATTTCACTCGTGAGACAGGATTTTTTGATATTTTCACTCGTGCTTCGCACTCGTGAAAATATCAAAAAATCCTGTCCCACTCGTGAAATAAATTCCATATCCAACTACAAAACATTGAATATCCTCTATATATCTTTGGGATATCATGCGTAACTTTAATCATGATTCTATAAGTCCTCCATTATCCCGTAATCAGTAAAGTTTCCTAACATATTGACTAATTGATTTCTTTGAGAGAGAGAGAGAGAGAGAAAACCGAAAGTCATAATTAGATACGCAAAGCCTTTTATATTATTGAGATTGTGAAACAGAAGTTTTTTCTTAATCTAATTTCAAGGATAACATGTTATGTGCATCCCAAGGACCTACATTTTGTGACCCTGAAATAGCAATTCTAAAAAAAAAAAGTGATGATGTCTCATACTAACATCAATATGATCTTCTTAACCTTTATAAGACACCTAAATATTTTACTAGTATTAAAAAACTCATGTTTATTTAGCTAATGATAATACATATCATACAAATGTATCGAAAAGAATGCATTTTGCAACCTGTGATATCACAATAGTATATTTATCGTGTTCAATCATGAAAGGTCAAACCAGTCAGAGAGACCACCTGTGTTTAGCGACTTCCTGACATATGCCACCATCAAATTTCCTCCCGAGCGATTCTCGTTTTTGCCTTTAATAAGAAAAGTAATAAAATCCTGATTTTTTTTTTACCCTTGCCCCAAATTGCAAAAAGATGTTTGCAAAAACATACCAATTAATGGAATATTTTACAGTGTGTTACGAAACTTCTTGAAATAAGAAACATTTTAAAAGGAACTATAAATTTAAAATGGTTTTGATAATTGAACATAAAAAAATCATTTGTATTCTTGGTGAATATAGTTGTATTGTACTTTTTCGCTTTCTTACATAACCTTTTCAAGTATAGTTGTTATCCTAAAACTGTTGTAAAAAGTAATAAAACGCCACAAAAACAAACCTGTTTTGGATATCATTTCAAAAAAAATAAATTTACACTTAACGCGATTGGGAATAAAACAATTATTTTGTAACAAATATTTATTTAATATATTTTATTTATGAAGAAGAATGAAAATGATTAAAAACTATAATAGGGAACCAGGGAGCAGCTAGGGGAAAAAATACGTGTATTACTATTTAGTATTCATGCATGTACTTCGAAAATTGCAAGATCCCTGATTAAGAGACTATCTGTCATATGCTACCATTATAGAATATACGTTGATAGGTCGCTTTATGCATGTTTGACCTCTTAACTTCTGTAAAATCACTTATTTTCGCGGGGTTAATTTTTCGTGCTTTGAGAGAAATATTGATTCGTAGATACAGACACGATACTTTATCTTGAAATGTTCCAATTTCGTGGAGACTATGTACATTCAACGAAAAGTCGAAAAATAATCCCCTACGAAAATAAGTGATTTCACCGTATTCTATTTATTCATTCATCCATTTGATAATCATAAATGACTCTGATTTGGTTAAAATAAATACTTAATGATCGCCAATCCTAAAGCGTACATATATTCAAAAACACCAGTTTCATATGGCTAGGATGGCCTTCTTCAATAAGTATTAAGTTAAGAAACATTATGTAATATCTGATATCTTTGATATATCATGAATTTCCTAAAATGGATGTGTTACATGTTAATTAATAATGTATATCATTTACCTATTTCGTGAAACCCCTTTATACCTTGTTGTATGTTTTTTCCCCAGCTTATTGACTGATTTCTGCTTTTCTGACTTCTTGTAAAATCTAGAGGTAGTTAATTCCTAGTAAAAGGAGACAAACAAGAAAAGACTTCAATTTGTTTCAAAATGGAAAAAAAAATTATTTTTCAAAAATTCTTTTCTTTCTTTTTTTAAATTAGATTTGAATTTTTTTTTTTTTTTTTTTTTTTTTTTTTAATTAACATGAATTATATTTTGTTTTATAAAGAACAGTATCTTCTATATCTACGAGGGGTGATCAAAAAGTTCGCGAACTAATTGAATAACTTCCTTAAAAGACATAAAATGAGATTTCAGTGTTTATCATTTTTAAAGTAGTCCTCTCCGATTTTAATGCACATCTGCCATTGTTCTGCCCATGCGCGAATCACGTGATCCAGGCAGTCACGTGACATGCCTCGTAGCAGTCTGTTCAAAGAAGCTAAGAGATTTTTCCGAGTCTTATATTTCTTACCATGCAATTTATTTTTTATAACAAGAACAGTCCATCTGTCAGAAATGGCCAAATCTCGCCAATAGGATGGGTGGATAAGGATATCCCTTCCCACAATTAGTATGGTGACCCATCACAACCCGAGTTCCCTGTCTCGGGAGCGTCGTTTATCCAATGTGGATAAAGTATGGGCGCATTCTTTTTATCATATCTCATATGTTTGAAGTCTAAAGTAAATGATATTTTAGGGATTTAATGATTATAGTATTGTTAAGATATTCAACCATTTTTCTAATTGTAACTTGACGATGTTTCATAACAAATTGCTCAGCTAAGGACACATCTTTTCCCCGGCTTGCTTTCGCTGGGAAACAGAACAAACATCATATTTAACCATCTCCCTGCCTTCACTAAAACAATCCATCCAATTAATGATTGAACTTCTGGTAAGTTTTTTGTCTTCATAAACCTTGTACAAATCATCATCTTCTACTGCAAAAGAATTTCCAAGATATACGTTAAACTTTACAGCGGTTCGTTGCTCGAGTACGACTGAGTCAACCATTTTTTGTCACAAGTGACCTACATATTGACGTCATCTTCACATTGTGACGTCACAAACACGGAGCAAAACATTATTTAACATCTGTTATTTATAGAACACGTGTATGACTATATGTGTGCCAAATTTCATTCTGATCTAAACTGTGGTTTTGTAAATATAGAATATAGATAGTTCGCGAACTTTTTGATCACCCCTCGTATATAGCATACTGATATAACATAGTGACCGTGGATAATTAGAGCTTGTAAAATGAAACTTATCTATGAAAAGACGCTTTCGGATCACACTAATGATAATAATATTACTTAAAAAAACATCTTTGACACAGTCAATCTCCTCTCATTCATTCAAAGGAGTAAGAAAATATTTTTCCTTAAGGTTTGTAACGCAATTAAGAATTGAAAGTCAAGACTTTTGATTGATGAGCGGAAATTGATTTTGCTGAATGTTGTAGCCAAAATCTTGAAGTTTCTTGGTTAATAATCTGTAAAGTTTAT